GGCTAAGGTTGGTGGATTGTGAATTTGACACCAGCTGAGCTACATAGTATGACTTGTCTCAAAAAGCAAAATAAGTTCTGGAGAGATGACTCAGCAGTTAAGAGCACTGGCTGTTCTTGCAGAGGACCTGGGTTCATTTCCATGCATGTATATAAGTGCACCCATGTCGTTCAGTGTCCATGGAGGTAGAAGAGGGCATTTGATTCCCTGGAAACTAGGTACAGATGGTTGTTAGCTGCCATAAGGGTGCTGGGAACCAAAACTGGTTCCTCTGCAAATGTATCCAGTACTCTTAACTGCTGACCCATCTTGCTAGCCCCAAGGATGTTTCTTTTTGTTTTGTTTTATTGAGGTATAATCATAATGTGGCTTAGTAATAACGCAATTCTATGTCTGAAAGCCGTGCACAGACCACTTATCTCTTTTTCAAGATGATCCTGAAAAAGATGTTCAATTCCTTTCTCTCATTAAGCAAAATCATCCTTTAGACAAAGGTTCCTGGTGTATATGCTTGTGTATATAATATATATTTGTGTAAATATGTGTAGACAAGTGCATGGGCTTGTGTGTATATGTGTCACATGTGTGCATGTGAGTATATGTGCACATGTGTCTGCATTTGTGTATGTACATGCATATGTACATTTGTGTGTGTAATGTGAGAGTGTATATGTACTTTTTGTGTGTGCACATGTGTATGTGCGTGTATGCGGGCATGTGTGTGTACACTTGTGTTCATGCATGTGTGTGTGTAATGTACATAGCACAAGCTTTTTGGACACCACAATAAAAATAAAGCATTTGGTGCTTATCTTTGTTGCAGAAGCAAAGCCCACCTTCCCATGAACAGCCATGAGGTGGCAGTACAGCATCAGAAGCCTCCAAGTTGGTCCCAGTAAGAGAAAACCACAAACGTGGAAAAAAGTCATTAAGTAGACCTTCTTAAATTTAAAACAAAGACACTTTTAATAACAGCAGAGATTGCATAGAGCCAAAGTTGACATATCTTCTGTGTTAGTTTCCTGCTTCCTTTGGCTTGAAATATTAAGCATATTCTAGGTTCGGCGACTGAATGCAGGCCCTTATAGCTCATGGAACTTTTCATTAGAAAACAAAATGATTAAATCCCATGTATGTTGCTGAGAAGTAACTTACTGGAATCCTAAGAGAAGCACTTGTCTCTAGGTCTCACCAAGCAAACCAACAGCAATGAAAACTCTCAACTGAAATACCCTTGTCCCCCCTTCTCTCTGTTTTTCTTATTAATCAGTGATCAACTCAGTGAGTTCTGTTATATGATTTCTTCCTGCTTGAGCCCTATAGATATGTACTTGGGCTTAAAGGATGAGTAAAACTGTTAAAATACTAATGGCTAGTTCTGGAAAATACTGATTTGTACATGGATACATCACAAACACACCACTTTTTACTACAGCTGTAGGTGAGTTCTGAGCTCTCATCTAGGTTTTTACTCTCAAAAATCGATTTTCTTTTAAATATTCAAATATGTTAGTTTAAAATAATGGTACTATATTGATATTATAAATTATTCATTTTTTAGTAAAAGCACTCCAGACAAAGGGCAAATATTCATAGAGATAAAATATTGAAAGTGTCTTCGTCGGTGTTGGAGAGACGGCTCAGTGGATAAGAGCATGTGCTGTTTTTCCAAAAGAACTGCGTTCAGATCCCAGCTCCCATGGTGGATTGCTCAGACTTGTCTATAGCTCTAGCCACAGAGGATCTGACTCCCTCTTCTGGTGCCTATGGGCAACCACACATGCACATAGTCACACACACACACACACACACACACACACACACACACATACACACTAAAAAAAAAATTTAAATCTTAAAAAAAAAAAAGTCTATGTCCTGGAAGCTGGGCATGGTGGGGCACACCTTTAATCCCAGGACTCAGGAGGCAGAGGCAGTCAGATCTCTGTGAGACTGAGACCAGCTTGGTCTCCAATAGTGAATTCTAGGCCAGCTGGGGCTACAGGGAGATCTTGTTTCAAAAAACAACAACAACAACCAAAAGACAAAAAAAAAAAAAACCAACAACAACAGAAAATCTTCTCAGGGATGGAGAGATGATTCAGCAGTTAAAAGCACTGCCTGCTCTTTCAGAAGACCCAGATTTAGTTACTAGTACCCGCCTGGCAGCTAACAACTCACTACAACTCCGATTTTAGGGGATCCAATGCTCTCTTTTGGTCTCTGTGGACATGTGCACTTCCATACATTCAGGCCAAACACTCATACACATTAAAAACTAAATAAAAAATAGCCCGGCGTGGTGGCACACACCTTTAATCCCAGCACTCGGGAGGCAGAGGCAGGGGGATCTGAGTTCAGATATATCACAGTGAAAGATTTATCGTCCTCTTTTTTTTTTTTTTTTTTTTTTTTTTTTTAAAAAAAAAAAAAAAAAAAAAAAAAAAAAAAGAAATTAAAATAAATAAATAAAAATTAACTCCAAAAATATGTCCTCATTTTCTGATAAATCACTCCTCAACAAGTTCTTCTAGTCAGTGTCCCTCCAGTGAAGGACTAGAATCACCAGCACTATTACATCAGTAGTGGGTCACAGCACCCTTCTCAGTAAACCCAGACACTACCTAGAGATACTTCTCCAATGTGAAATCTAAATAATCACTGCATGTTGAACTATGGTAATCTCAGAGAGAAAGAGAACTCCCATTTGCCATTTAACTGTACCATGAATGCACTATCATGTTATGAGACTCACAGATGATAAACAGTTGTCACATATGAATAATGATTTGACCAACTGATACATATGCCAGAATTGGCATATAAGCATGCATATGTGTGGCCATGCTTAGGAATTAATGCTTTCATGCAACACATCTCATGCTTGAGAAAAGATTTCCTAAATTCCTTCCTCTCTTGCTTTGTAAAGGAGTTAAATTATGTCTTGCCCTCATTGGGTACAGTTATGTTGAAGTAGACGTTAGACTGTATAAACTGAGACATGTGATAAAATGGAAAAACAGAAGAGAAGGAAATTCTCCTTTTCAATGAGACTGAGAAAATGCTAAAAATGTTAACAAATAGTTACTGAATGTTTATTTTGTCAGAGGGGTTATACGTCACATGGCAAAGCTCCACAGCATCATTGTGAAGTGATTGGTAATACATTTCCATTTGAAGGATGAGAAAACTGAGACTCAGAGAAGGCAAGTGATATGTACCCTTCCAGATGTTTAGTATGTGTTCTGGATCCATTTAGTTGTCAACTTTGCACACCTGGGTAGAGGGAGCCTCAGCTGAGGAATCGTCTCAATTGGACTGCCCTGTGACCACACCTGTGGGGCATTTTATTGATTTTTGAGTGATGTGGGAGGGCCCAGCCCACTATGGGCATTGCCACCCATAGGACAGGACAGGTTGTTCTGTATTGTATAAGAAAGCAGGCTGAGCATGGGGCAAAGGATCATCAAGTCAGCAAGCAGAGTTCTTCCATGGTCTGTGCTCCAGCTCCTGCCTTCAGGATGTGGCTCTGAGTTCCTACCTTGGGCTCCCTGATAAACTGTGACCTTGGAGATGTAAGGCAAATAAACCCTTTCCTCCCCAAGTTGGTATTAGTCAGAGTGTTTTGTCACAGCAATTGAAGGAAAACTAGAACAGTATGAGACAGAGAAAGGATGGGTCATCATTTTATCATGTTCTAGATGACAGGCACATTGCTGAACACTTTAGATGCATTCTTTCATTCTGTCCACAAAACAGCTCTCCAGGATGGAATATGAATTGAGGAAAGGGTCACTGACAAATCAGAAGGCCTTTTCTATCTTTTTCTATTTCCTGAAAGATTTACATGAAACTTAGCAACACTATCAAGATTCTAGAAAATAAGTGAGTGTCCTAGTGTTTGTGTTTCTAGAAAGCCCCCCAGAATCTCAGAAAATTTTGGCATAGAATTGAACATTCTTTGTGATATTTCTTATAATAGTAGAAACAAGTACTTAATTTAAATGTACAACAGGAAAAATAGTTGATAATTTATAATTGAGGCTATTATGATAATTGATAAGTTCAAAAAATAGTTAATGCTTTAAAAATTGATTTTTGAGAAAATAAGTGATAAAAGAAAAAGATACTGTGGTGTAATTCTTTTGTGTTTCTAGATTTGTTTAGTCCTCTGATAATTGTATATCCACCATATTTAGGATAACTGAACTTCATTAGTCAGTGCTTACCCTTTTTTTACAACCTTTTTCTGAAGGCACAGGAACCATGAAAGTGTTCTGATCCATCTTACATGCTCATTTCAAGAACAAAGTTTAAATTTTCAGTGTTATTGTTTTCTAAGTTTAAATTTGTGCATATTAACTGTACAAAACAGTGATGGGGCTTCATGAAATGTTTTCAGATGTGTATATAGAGTACTTTTGTCATATTCAACCCCCTCATTACACTCTTTTGCTTCCCTTACTGCTGAAGCATTATCTATTTTTCTTGTTCATGAGTGGATACTACCCCTATTCTGTTCATCTACCATCCATGGTTTTTAATGTCTTGCATAAAATAACTAAATGAACATTCCTTACACTCAAAGGATTTTAATGAGCTTATGAAATAATATGATTCTGCATGTTTAACCCTGAAATTATGCCTAAGGTTCAGCTTCCCAGAACATATTTCAGTGGTAGGAAACTGGTTGATACTAGGAACAACTCAGAGGTCAACATGAATGTTTCAATCACAAATGCCACTTACTGCCTTGTAGAGTATTTCTCCAAATGAGAATATCTCAGTGACCAAACTAACTGAGCTTCTAGATTAAAATCAATCGTGCTCAACATAAAATCTGAATCGTCTCTTGTGAAGGTCAAATATATGTATTATTTCAAGTCCCAAGAGAGATGTTATGGATAAAAAAGTTTGGCTATCTCACATCTTTTCACCTGACTGAGTAAGAATTACAGACAACCAGAGCTGTTTACCAAAAATGTTTCATCTTTTTTCAGGACTCCAAGCTAAATGGCATTACCAAACTTCCACTGTAAGGGGCTTAACCAATGGCATGTAGAGCAATAGAGGTAGGTTCTAGAACAATTCTTTTCAGAAACTCTGTGGTCTTTTCCTTATAAATGATCAAATGCAAATACACAGAGGACCTAAGAATTAATGAGCTATAAGCCAAAAGGCCGTTGGGATTCTGAATGGTCACATAGAGGACAGACATCCATATACAGAGTACTTTAATGGGGGCAGGGACAGAACATTGTAAGAGCTCTTATTCATTATGGGCTGCAGTATTATAAAAGGATATCCAAATACAATGCACTTGCTAAGGTGCAATGAGTCTGCTGCTTTGCCCACTTCTATTTCTTCCATCTGATCTTTGTTTTCTTCTTTATATTCTTCCATTTGTTAATTGGATATTTTTATGATTCTATTTTATTTCATATGGTAACATATTTTGACATCGAAGTTATTTTGCTGTTGTCTTTTGGCCTACAAAACTCATCTTTAATTGTAACTACCTTCTAATAACTGTGCCACAAATAAGGAAATGTACTCCTAGTGATCTGCTCCTAACTCCTTTGTGCTCTGATTTCCCTACTTTTCACTTTTTTTTATAGATAATCCCATAACATGCTAACACTCATCTTCTGTTAAGAAATTATCTGGTGGATCATCTCTTAAAAGATTTATTTTACTTTTAATTGTGTGTGTGTGTGTGTGTGTGTGTGTGTGTGTGTGTGTGTATGAGTGCTGGTACTCATGGAGGCCAGAAGAGGGTGGCAGAACCCCTGGTGTTGAAGTTACAGGCAGTTCTGAGCTGCATAATGTAGGATCCTGGAACCCAATTCCAATTCTCTGGAAGAATAATACACACTCTTAATTGCTGAGCCATCTCTCTAGCCCCTGTTAGATCAATTAAAATTGTAATTTAATTTTATTTTTTTGTAAATTTTTTTGATTGACTTATTTTTATTTTATGTGTACTAATGTTGTACCTGCATGTGTGTAAGTACACCTGTGTCATGCAGTGCCCCTGGAGGACAGAATAGGGCATCAGATCCCCTGGAACCGGAGTAAGGAACAGCTATTAGGTGTCATGTAAGTGCTGGGATTCAAATCAGGGTCTTTTGCAAGAACAGTCAGTGTTCTTAACCCCTGACCCATCTCTCCAGTTCAAAACTCTGATTTAATTTTGTCATTCCATTTCTGATCTCTCTGAAAGAGCTTGTGATAAGAATCGTATAGATTAGAGTCCTAGATTTGATGAGCACTCATATCATTTTTTTTTTGTAGGACAGAAAAGAAAGCTGAATTAGTGAAAAAGAACATTACAAGCCAGAGTGGAAATTTTTCCCTAAATAGCTACACTTCAGTGATAAATGCTGTAGCAAGTTAAGAAAAATAACAGTTGACAAGGACCACTACATTTATATCCATGACGGGCTCTGAAATGGTCATTTCAACATTATGGCAGAAGAGGGTGGAAAGACTGTAAGATCAAAGTAGGCAGCAGAGAAGGGGAACTAGTTGAGAAGAGGTCTACAGGAGGCAGAGGGGCATAAGACAGAGAGGAATAGAGTAATGTGCTCACAATACATTGTACACATTTAAAATTTTAGTTCAAATAAGTAAGTAATAAAATATAAAAAAGACAAATTTCTGTCTGAACCTTCCCTGGCACTTGTAAACTGTGTGATTTTAGTACTGTTATTTCACCGTCCTCTTCCCCTAAGTGTAAAATGAAGACAATTGTAGTGGTTTATAGGCTTGTTGAGGAATCAGTTCTTTTAAGGAACAGACATGGCTCAGCAGGTAGCTCTTAGTAAGGTCCAGAATTAAACATCTGTAAGACCAGGATACTGAAGCAGACAGACAGACTACATGTAGTATAAAATGAAAACAAGAGTTGTGAAAAGATCACAGTGGAGTCTGTGAGAGGAAAGAAGATCATGTAAAGCATTTAAGTTAGATGATGAAAGAACAGAACCAATTAAAAGTAAAGAATAATGCCATATACAGGAAAGTAACAAAGAGGGTCCATACAGCTAGAGATCATAGAACATGAGAAGACAAAGACAGTCAGTAAATTAGTAGAGAAAAATATTCTTTGAGGCAGTGTAGGCCAGGCAGAAGTTCACATGTGTATTAAAGGAAAAAGGGCTCTCAGTCTTCTGAGGAAAATAAGTGACAAACCCTGTCAAAAGCATTGTACTTGGTTCATCTATTCAGAGTTCAGGACAGATTTTTCATCTCATTCCAGCATCCTGGCACTGGTTGCTAGCTTCAGACCTGCTCTACTCTCAAAGTACTCTGTACAGGTAGGGAGTGGAGGGTAGGTGTGTGCTGAAGTGCAAGAAAACTGCATAGATATGTAAAGAACTGTTCAAACATTGCCTGTACAGGAACAGGCCACCGTATGATTCATAGTAATCTAAAATCAGCAAGGTTTACAAAATAGTACATTAGTCAAAACCTTCTGTGCAACTGAATTAAAGTAATTAAATTTTAATTAAATTCTTTTCCAAGAAAGGATTTAATTAATTAAAAATTAATCTGGACTGTAGTTGATTAGATCTGAGTTGAATTAACCATAATCTATACCCCAAACTTGGAACAGAAACAAAGATGGAAGTTTCCTAAGAGGCGAGCTATTTAACAAAAGAACTGGAGGCAAGTACTTTTTCTTTAAGCAAGGGGAAACATAGAACTTCAATCTGTAGTAGAAAGGAAATCAAAGGGAAGCCGAGAACAGAAATCTTAGTGCTAGGCAGTGCCTCAGCCTTTCCAGTGGTCCTGTTTATTTGCTTTTGAAATAATATTTAATGAGAGCAGAGTTAAAATACACAACAGGGACTGGAGAGATGGCTCACTGGTTAAGAACACTGGTTGTTCTTACAGAAGACTGAGGTTCAAATCCCAGCACCCACATAGCAGCTAACAACTGTACGTAACTCTAGGCCCACCAAATCTGATAGCCTCTTCTATCCTCCGTGGGCATTGCACGACATGGGTGCACTTACCTAAATGCAAGCAATACATGCATACACTAAAAATAAAGAAAAATAATATTAAAAAATAAAATACATGCCAATCCTAGGAGTAAGTACTTACAAAAAGCTACAGTATACAGAAACATTTGAATAATGAAAACCATAATTAAAAATTTTGATTTTCCAATAAGATAAAAGCTCCTCATGAATGCATGGAATCACATGTGGACATTATCCATTTAAGGACTTAGCTTGCAGTGAAAATATAACTAGGGAGCAGACCACCAGAGAATGCCAAGTTCTGGCCTCCATCTGGCCTCTCTCTCACAGAAGGGCTGAGAATGCAGGGGACTGCCTGAGAGCCCCTGGATCCTGCCTCCACATGGTGGTGAGCTTCCCCTAAGAGTGCCATACCCATCCCTCTACCTGGGATTTTGTGAGACCCCTCCCAAGGTCCCTGGCCAGATTTGGTTTTGGTAAAGCTGAGATCCTAGCAGACAACCCGAGAGGGTGGACTGCCTGAGAGCACCCAGATCCTGCCTTCACATGGGGAAGGAAGCCTGAGTGTACCAGACTAGAACCTGAATTGGGCTTCTATGGGTATTCCTGAGTAGCTGATCTGAAGCCATCAGTTGGCTCCAAATTATACCTGAGAGAATCTGAACCCTGTACCAACTGCTTTACATAACCAATAAAAAAGCGTCTAAGCACCTGGATAATACAAACAAAAGCATATTTCAATTTAACTCTCATATCAGAATTGTAAACAACAAAGAAATTCACATGCCAAAATCACAGTGAAAGAATAATAAAATGGAAAGCCAAATACTATATTCCCACCAAACTGCACCAATCTTGTAGAAGAGTTCTACAGGGACAACCCCCTAGAGATAACCCAGGACACTGAATTTAAAAGAACAATCATAAACATGATCAAGGCATTCAACAAATTTAAAGAACAAATGAACAAAGAGCTAAAAGAAGATAGGGATAAACTTCTGAATGAATTCAAAAAAGAGATAGAAACATTGAAGAACACTCAGCCAATTTGAAATAACAGGGGAAAGCCTCACCCCTAGAATTAATGAAATGGAAAACAGAATACCAACACTGGATGATAAAGTTGAAGAATTGCACCACTCAAGCAAAGATTATGGAAAAATTTAAAAAACACAGGAATGGAATATGCAAGAGATGTGGGACACCATGCAAAGACTAAATCTATGGATCATGGGAGTAGAGGAAGGAGAAGAATTTCAGATTAATAGTGTTGATCAGATCTTAAACAGGATGGAAGAAGAGAATTTCCCAAAATTAAGGAAAGACATCCCCACACAAATACAGGAAACACGTAGAACACCAAATAGACAGGACTAGAAAAGAAACTCCTCATGACATATCATAAGAAAAACACTAAATGTAGAAAACAAAAAGAAAATACTGAAAGCAGCAAAAGCAAAACAAGTCACATACAAAGGAAAATCCACCACAATTACAGCAGACTTATCAATGAAAACTATGAAAGCCAGAAGAGCCTGGACCAAGGTATTTCCACTTCTACATGACAATAGATGTCAGCCCAGAATACTTTACCCAGCAAAAATGTCTATTATAGTTTAGGGGGGAAGAAAAGTCTTCCATGACATGAGAAGCCTGAAAGAATACATGTCTACAAAACCAGCCCTTCAAAGAATACTTGAAGTAATGCAGAGAGCAGAGAGAGAAACAATTATACACCAGGGGCAAGGGAACAAAATAAATAAAGGTATAATCAAGGAAACACAAAATTAGGCAGAGAACATAAATACCAATCAAACTGATGTCAACCAACATATCTTTCAATAATAACCTTAAATATCAGGGGACTAAACTCCTCAGTCAAAAGACACAGGCTAAGTGAATGGATTAAGAAACAAAATCCATCCTTTGCTGTCTGCAAGAAACCCACTACACCTTCAAGTACAGGCACCACATTAAGGTGAAAGAATGGAAAAGAATATTCCATGCAAATGGCACTAAGAAACAAGCAGGTGTTGCAATTCTAATATCTGACAAAACAGACTTCAAGGTAAAATTAATCAGAAGAGATAAGGAGGGTCACTTCATTATGATTAAAGGAACAGTTAACCAATAATATATTACAATCCTTACCATATATGCACCAAATGCTGGTGTACCTAAATTCATAAAAACAACACTACAGGACTTTAAGACCAATTAAACCCAATTCAGTAATAGTAGGGGACTTCAATACCCCATTGTCTCAATTAGACAGGTTAACTGGACAAAGAATAAACAGAGAAGATCTGAATTAAGTGATACCATACATGAAATAGACCTAACAGACATCACTCAAGTATTCACCCAAGCATCAAATAATACACTTTCTACTCAGCACCCATGGAACATTTTCAAAAATTGATCACATACTGGGCCACAAAAAAACCTTAACAAATACTAAAAAATTGAAATAATCCCATGATTTCAATCAGATGACAATGCAATAAAGCTCAAAATCAACACTGGACAAAACCCTAGTGAGATTGAAAAACACTACTAAACAACGAGTGGGTCAAAGGAGAAATTAAGAAAGAAATAAAAGAATTCCTGAAACTTAATGAAAAGGACAATATAACACAAGACAACCCCTGGGACATTTTAAAAGCAGTCCTAAGAGGGAATAAGTGCCTACACTGAAAAATTAGAAGGGCCCAAATAAATGACCTAACACTGCAACTCAAGACCTAGAAAGGCAAGAACAAATGAAACCCAAACCCAGCAGAAAAGAAGAAATAACAAAAATCAGAGCAGAAATTAATGAAATAGAAACAAAGAAAACAACACAGAGAATTAATGAATCTATGAGTGGGTTCTTTGAAAAGCTAAACAAGATAGACAGACCCTTAGCTCAGTTAACCAAAAGAAAGAAAAAACAAATCTAAATCAACAAAATCAGAGATGAAAGGGGAAACATCACAACAGACACCCAAAAGATCCAGACCATTATTAGGGAATATTTGAAAAACCTATGTACAACTAAATTTGAAAGTCTAAAAGAAATGGATGAATATCTAAAACCATGGAAACAACCAAAGTTAAACCAAGAAGCAATCAACAGTTTAAACAGACCCATATCATACGAGGAAATTGAAAGAGTAATATAATGCCTCCCAACTAAAAAATGCTCAGGTCCAGAGGGCTTTACAGCAGAAGTCTACTAGACATTTAAAGAAGACCTCCAACCAATACTACTTAAATTAATCAAAAAGATAAAAACAGAGGGAGAACTCCAAAATTCCTTCTATGAAGCCAGCATCACTCCAATACCCAAACTGGGTAAAGACACAATAAAAAAAGAAAACTATAGACCCATATCTTTAATGAACATAGATTCAAAAATTCTCAGCAAAATACTTGCAAAAAGCATACAGATGTACATCAAAAAGATCATTCACCATGATCAAGTAGCCTTAATCCCAGAAATGCAGAGGTGGTTCAAAGTACTGAAGTCAATAAATGTTATTAATCATATAAATGGACTGAAAGACAAAAAACAGATTCTAATCTCAATAGATGCAGAAAAGGCTTTAGACAAAATTCAGCTTGCATTTATGTTCAAAATCCTAGAGGGAATTAGACTGGAGGGTACACACCTCAACATAATTAAAGCTATATACAAGAAACCCGCAGCCAACATCATTCTAAATGGAGAAAAACTGGAAGCATTCCCATTAAAATCAGGAACCAGACAAGGATGTCCACTATCTCTACTCCTTTACAACACAGTGCTTGAAACATTTGCTAGAGCAATAAAACAGGAGAAGGAAATTAAAGGAGTATTAATTGGAAAAGAGGAGGTCAAATTTTTGCAGATTGCATATGATAAGATATTATGCTTAAGACATCCCCAAAACTCCACCATCAAACATCGAGAAGTCCTAGAACTGATCAACACTTTCAGTATAGTGGCAGGTTATAAAATCAATCTACAAAAATCAGTAGCCTTTCTACATACCAATAACCAGCAATTGGAGAAAGAATACAGAGAAATGCTCCCATTCACAATTGCTGAAAAATAAAATAAAATATCTTGGAATAAATCTGACCAAAGACACCAAATGTCTCAACAATGAAAATTGTAATTTGAAAAAGAAAGAGTTGGGGAAGACACCAGGAGATGGATGGAACTCCCATGCTCATGGATTGGAAGAATTAGTATTTTGAAAATGACCATCTTACCAAAAGCAATTTATAGATTCAATTCATTCCCAATCAACATCCCCATGACATACTTCACAGAATTAGAAAAAAAAGTCCTAAATTCATACAGAAGCATAAAACACCCGGGATAGCCAAAGCAACCCTGAGCACAAAGAGCAACACTGAGGGGGATTACTATACCAGATCTCACAGTATACTACAGAGCTATAGTCTTAAAAACAGCATGGCACTGGCACAAAAATAGACACATAGATCAATGGAACATCATAGAAGATCCAAACCCTAGTACATGCAATTTCAGCCTCCTGATATTTGACAAAGTTTGAACTTTGTCAAAATGGAGGAAAGTTTGAACACAGTGGAGGAAAGACAGCTTCTTCAACAAATGGTGCAGGCAAAACTGGATCTCCACCTATGGAAGAATGAAACTAGATCCTTATCTTTCACCTTGCACAAAAGTCAACTCCAAATGGATCAAAGACCTCAATGTGAAGCTGGAAACCCTGAAAACTATTAGAAGAAAATATCGGCAGCAACTTACAAGATATAGGTGAAGGAAAGTGTTTTCTAAATCAGACAGAAGTTGCTAGGGAATTAAGGTTGGCAATCAACAAGTGGGACCTCATTAAACTAAAAAGCTTCTCTACAGCAAAAGAAACAATCAAAAAAGTGAAGAGATAAACCACAGAGTGGGAAAAAAATCTTCACCAGGGATTTAACATCCAGAATATATAAAGAACACAAAAAAGAAAGAATCGAGAAGCCAAATAACCCAATTAAAAGATGGGCTAAAGATCTAAACAGAGAGATCTCAAAGGAAGAAGTAAATGACTAAGAAACATCTCAAAAAGTGTTCAACATCATTAGCAATTAAGGAAATGTACATTGAAACCTCCCTAAGGTATCTATCACCATACCCCAAGCAGACTGGCTAGAATTAAGAGAACAAATGATACAAAATGCCAGCAAGGTTGCGTAGAAAGGGGAACACTCATTCACTCCTGGTGGGATTGCAAACTCATGCAACCCCTATGGAAAATAGTGTGGAGATCTCTTAAGAAACTGCAAATGAACCTACCATATGACCCAGTTATACCACTCCTTGGCATATATCCAAAGGACTCATCCTATTGTAGAGACACTTGTACAACCATGTTTGTTGCTGGTCTTTTCACAATAGCTAAGAGATGGAAGCAACCTAAGTGCCCCTCAACTGATGAGTGGTTAATAAAAATGTGATATATTTACACAATGAAGTTCTGTGCAGCAGTAAAGAAAAATGAAGTAATGAAAATTGCAGGTAAATGAATGAATATAGAAACTGTTATACTAAGTGAAGTAACAAAGACTCTGAAATACAAATGATGTATGTTCTCTCTCAATTTTGGATTCTAGTACCAAATCCTTTTAAATTCCATGTCCTTTTATAAAGATGATGCTATGCAGCAGTCCCTTATGCATGAAATAACTACCATTATCATGACTTCAGCTGAGCCTGATCGCTAAACATTGTCATTATTGGGCTTGTTGATGGTTGTGCTCATTCACCAAAGGAGAGAGAGCAGGGTCATTGGACCCTCACAGGAGAATCCAGCCACTCTTCCCAGCCAACTTTATGTAATTTGTCCCTAATCACACATGGCCTTCTGGATTTGGGGAGGGCTAAAGCATACAATCTAGGGAAGGCTAGGAAGAGAAGGCATGACCCATGCTGGGTAAACACTTTCCAGTGTGCATACCCTCAGGTCATACATACACCTCAGCAACCCCTCAGTTATCTCGGTAAGTAAGCTCAATAAATTCACTGGTTCCCCAGTAAAACTTCAATCAAATATTGGCTCGGGACACTAGAACCTTGAAAGTGAATAAGCATTGCTTAGCATCCCCAGGAAAAGAAGTCTCACAACAGATGGAAAATTTGTTAGTGCTATTATGTCTCATAATCATTTTAAAAAAGAAAGAGAATATAAAAGATATTAAAAGGATATGGGAATGGCAATATTTTCCAAAATAGAAAAAATGAGAAAGCCGAAGCAAGTGATGAAGGTCTGTTTAGGTTTGTTATATATAAAGGATGAGACAAAAATAATATACACATAACCTTAAAATGTCTATGGTCATAGTTCAGTCAACTAGTTAAAGGATCAAAATGTATATCTAATCAAAGTTTATTTGAGAATATTTGGTTTTTAACCCAAGCCTTATTCTACATAGCACATGATAATTAAAAGTATCAGACTGGTGGAACTAACCTTGTTGGATGTTTAACAGCCATAGTTTGAGGCATATAGTAATGTGGTCAGAGGGACTGAAGGGACAGTTTTTGCCCCTTGCCCTCCAAGGTTGACTAAGTTCCAGGGGACTATGGAACATCTCTCAAAATGTCCTGTAACTGTGGTGAGGCACCTGTCCTCTTTTTCAGGGAGGCCATGGAGACCCTAAGAGATGGACTTTAACCACTGTCCAGTCTACAAAGAGGATGGTCAACTTAGAGGAAACATCTTATTCATGCTTCCAAGCGAAGCCAGACATGGTCGAGCAGGACTTTTGACTTATCTTCACATAGGCAGAACTGGTAAAAGAAAGGAGCCAGGAGCTCCTCCCAAGCCCATTTGACCCCTAAGTAACAGATCCTCAAATAACCTTAAGTGTAAAAATAAATTGATTTATTTGGGCCAACTCTATGGTCTTAAACACCCAAAAGAAAAGTATAACCAAAGAGTAAAGTCATCAGTATATTTCTTTAAGAGTTCAAGGTATTACACTTCCCAGAAATTAGGCTTAAGTTTATACAAAAAGTTATTTAGACAATTATTTCTCATTGATGATTTTGTTCCTTACCAGAAAGTGTTGCTCAGAAATAAGACTTCAAATCTTGGTCTCCAATGCTGTAGTGCCCACCTGTAGCTAAGAGAGACAACCAGCTATTGTTCTAAAATGATGGGTAAATTTGTTTTCTCCCCACATCTAGAAGCCTTTGAGAGGGAACTGACACCGATTTTAACCACTCCAACAGCTATTGAAATACCTGAAAGCAAATCCTGAATCCATCACTCTAGAGTCCAACCTTGCAAGACAAAAGAAAAATGAGGAAGAATCCAGCAGAGGGATGCTTTTGGAAGCTTTTGTCATGAAATTCCAATGGACTCTCATATGAACATCTGACTATTGCCCTGTTCTGTCGTTTTTCTAGTTCCCTGTCTAGAACCTGTAATGCTAATTGCTCTTGCCTTTATTTTTCCTTCACATCTCCTATTCATGATTAAAAGACTTTCTTTTCCTCCTTGAGATAAGAGTTATGCAATTTGGGAATCTTTTAGATAGACCCACTGAAGGGGTACTCCAGTTGCCTTATCCTGCATCCCTGTTCTTCATGGAAGAAGCCAGAGCAGTCTGTGTTCAAATTACCTATTGGAAATTTGGGTAACCTCTTCAGAGGATCATGTGATAAGAATAGGAGGTAGGATTTTGCTAGGTAGTTATGGTAAAAAGACCCCAAAGAAAAGTAGCTAGTTTCTTGTCTAAAACTCAGAATGTTCTTGGGCCTCTTAGCCAACTACTCCATTCCAAAGGCCAAAAATGTCAAAAAATTTTGGGAGTCTTTATCTAATCTTTAAAAGATTTAAGAGTTACCTCTTCAGAAGGGGGAATGTTAGAGTAGCCATAAGAACCGTTAAAAAATAAATAAATGAATCAAAGAAGAAAGAGTACATGAAGTTATCAGAAAAATATGATGGGGAGATATGGGAGGGTTTGGAAGGGAGGGATGGGCATGGATTTGATCACACCTTATATACATGTATGAAATTCTCAATAAATTATTTATTTAAAAAAATCAAAAAAGAATAAAATGTGTTATAACTTGGGAGATCATTCAAAGGATTTAACATAAAGTATACAACATATATATGCACGCATTAGTATGCCTTTCTAAATGTTATACCAACACAAGCACTTGTGATAGATAGATAGATAGTAGATAGATAGATAGATAGATAGATAGATAGATAGATAGATAGATAGATAGATAGATAGATAGATGATAGATAGATGGATATTATGTATGGGTTAGAATTATACAGTCTATATATTTTATATTATGGGTTATAGATACATGTTAGAATATGCATATGATGGAGAACATGTCCCTTTTCTCTCAGAGATTTGGTGGCCTTGCTTAATAGTACACATTCTGTGTCATTTGTTTTCCCTGAATTTTGCAATTCAGTTTTTCTTTAGAGCTTAATAATTTTCCATTATATACATATATGTATATGTGCCAGATTTTCATTATCTATTGGTGGACAAATAGATCGGTTCTGTTTCCTTACTATAATGAGTAGAGCAGCAATAAACATGGGGGTACAATACCTCTATGAAAGCATAATTGGGTCATATGGTACCTCTATTTTTCAATTTTTGAGGAAACTTTATATTGATAGCCATACTGGCTGTATTGATTTGCACTCCCAGGAAGCTGAGAAGACCTGCTGATTTTCTGAGAGTCTAGCTTTCCTTCTCTTTCTCCACTGTCCCCCACTCCCAGTCCTAGCTGGGGATGCACAACTTCCTAAAGATGATTTCACAGATTCTGGCCTTTCCTCTCCCTCTCTGCCATCCAACACTAGCAGGTAGAAACCCCCAAGTGACAATCTTCCTGCCATCTGGCCTAGCAGTCACCCAGTCCTCCACACTGCTATGGGACCTAGTAGATTCTGATTGGGAACCATGGGTAGGCATCCCTAGCCACCCCACTCATAGCTCAATCCATGACCCCATGTAGGGACCTCCAGAGCTAACTACCACTCCACCTACCAAGATGCCCTGGGACTGTGTGGTGTCCTTTGCCCCTGACCCCTACCACTTCCAACTGAGGAAGGTGTGATGTCCTGGGCCCCAACCCCATGGACCACCCGAACTTAACACTATGACCCCAGCCTCTGCCATCCAACAACCTCCTGTATAAACTGCTGAACTCTCTACAGGCTTCAGAAGATCAGCAGTGGGAGTATTCCAAGCCCACAGAAAGCTTGCTCCTATGAACAGACGTTGCACCTAAGACTAGCTGATTTAAATCTACTCCTGACACCCCAATCACATATCAACACAGAGTGGGCCTGAGGCTGAACATCAAGAATCATCCTGCTAAACCACAACCGGACAAGTTGGGAGAAAGAGCAAACAAACACCCATTAAACACAGGCAAAATAGATAGGTTCCATTATGAAAGCAAGAAACAAACAAACAAACAAAAAACATGAATAACAGAGAAATATGTCTCTACTTCAGACACAGATCTTGGAGTAATGAATCTGTAACTGAGCTGAAAGCCACCTGTCTCAAGACTAGCTCCCATAGTTTCAGAATTTCTATGCAAGCTGCAAAGGGAGAAAATCAATCAGTGAACCAATCCCAGCTTTAAAGTCTAATAATCACAACGACTGGCACAACAAATTACATCGTTGTAGTAGTGAGTAGCACGTTTGTCTTGGGGGTAATAAACAGCTGTCTAATTGAACTTAAAGCCTTTTCAATGGGAGGGAACTCATGGTGGAACTCTCACCAGCAAAGATTCCTCATGCAACAGTGTGATGCACACAGAAAGCGACAACTTTTCAAGGTATAGAATATAAGAGACTTCAGAGTACACACCTTGGGCAGGACTCTTATTAAACTTCATTCACTCGTGGCTCAGGAAACATTGTGGAAGAGGGGGCCAAAAGATTGTAAGAGTCAGGGGTGGTGAATAATCACAAGGAAACAGAATTTTCTAGGCTTCTGAGAATTTTCTCATAGGAATTTACAGTAATGGTGACAGCATGCACAAAACCCTTGCAAATGCAAATCACGCAAAAACCTAGTATAGAACTGGGGAAGTGGGCAGGAGGTCCCAAACCTAGCCAAGGGACTGTTGACTGAAGGAGAGTGGACATTCTTTAAGGGAGTGATTCTAGACAGGCTGACTAGACTCCAGCACACGAACTTGCACAGGACATCTGGGTACAAAAGCTTGACTCGATAGGCCTTAACATATATTATAGAATCCATAAAATTGGCAGGGGTCATGGGGGTGCAGGGAGAGGGAGTCTAAATATGATTAAGATTTTTGTATGAAATGCAAAAAATTCATCTAAAATACACATAAAAAGGTAATATGGCCCTTCCAGATATGAAAACACCCATCATAATGTTTCATGAGAAAAGCAACCCAGCTGATGCACAAGACAATGGTTTCAAAATAACAATTATAAATATGTTCAAGAAACTCAAAGAGGATATGAATAAAAGACTAAATGAAAAACACGAAAACAAAAACAAGTTGAAGAAAGTCAAATAACTCTAGATTTGAAATTAGAATTTAATAAAGATGTGGAATATATGAAAAGCCAAGCTGAAATCAAACTTTAAATGAAAAACAAAGAAAGTAAAACAAAAACCTCAGAGGAAAGCCTTACATATATTGGATCAAGTGGAATAATGAATATCAGGTCTCAACAAGGTAGATGAAATGGATCACTCAGTGAAATATAAAATCTAAACCCCAAACACAATATGTAGAAACCCTGTTGCACTATAAAAAGACCAAACCTATGAAAAATTTGGTATGGAAGAAAAAAATACTGAGGACAAAGGCAGAGAAAATGTTTTCAACAAAATCCTACATGAAAATTTCCCAAATCTAAGGAAAGAGCTATCCTTAGGCATACAGAATGCCAAATATATTGGCCCAGAAAAGAAACTCCTCATGTTAGAGTCAAAACACTCAATATAAAGAACAAATAAAAGATACTGAAAGCTGCAAGAGAGGAAAACCAAGTTACTTACAATGGCAGGCCTATTAGAATAAGAGGTGAGTTTTCAACGGAAACTGATTGTCTACAAGCCTTGAAAAACTACAGATGTCAGCCAGGCAAACAGATGTAGGGAAAATATATGTATTTGTAACTGAAGGAGAAAAAAATTTTTCCATGATAAAAACAGATTTAAGGAATTTATGTCCACAAAGCCAGCATGGTGGTGCATGCCTTTGAACCCAGTACTCCTGAGGTACAGGCAGGTGGATCTCTGTAAGTTCAAGGCCAGCCTGGTCTACATAGTGAGTTCCATGCCAGCTTCGGCTACAGGGACATCCTGTCTCCAAAAGACCGAAAAATTGTGCTTTGGTAGGATAAGTCTGAGACCATAGCACCCAGGCTGAGAGTGCCTGCTCCAACATGGATTGTAGGGGCTGAGATTTCAGCAGACCCCTGAGAGTCCCAAATTGCCCCCCTCCCATAAGGAACTTCCCAAATTTTGCTCTGAGGGGTAGAAGTCCAAACCTTAGAAGGAAGCCTGAGTGTACCTGACTGTAACCTGACTTGGGCTTCTGTGGGAGCTATTGAATAGCTGATCTGAAGCCATCAGTTCCCTCCAAAATAAAGCCTGAAAGAACCTGAAACCCGAACCAATCAGCTTTACATAATCAATAAGAAAAC